CTGTGTCTGCCCCCCGACGCGGGGCCGCGGCGGTGCAGCGCAGAGGCCCGTCGGGTCCAGCTCCTCGTCCTGCGGGAGAGGGCAGGAAGTGGTCAGAGCCGGCCAGGATGGGGCGTCCCAAGTGCTCCCTGCTCTCAGCTCAGCCCGCTGCAGTTTGTACCCTCTACTTCTGCCTCCTCGCATCCCTTCCAAGCGCTTCTCCAGCCTCCTCCTGGGCTCTGGGATAAATTTTTGCAGTGTGCAGGTGCCGCGTGTTTGTACAGCAGCGTGGTGATGTCTTCTGCTTTGGTCTCTGTCCCTTCCTCACCTTTCCTAACACTTGATTGCTGTTTTTGGCTGCTACTGAGCTCGAACAGCTTGTTCTCACCAAGCTGTCTACAGCCCCGCTTTGCCCTCTCGCTCCCGAGTGGCCTCCAGGAGGTCAGCTCCGAGCCAGTTGTTTTATATATGAAATTAGGATTATTCTCCCCCTGTGCCTTACTTTACATTCCCCATTCCCCGCCCAGCAATCCAGCTCTACGTTTCTCATGGGCTGTTTGGCAACCTACTACAAAATCTGCCCGTCCGGCCTTTTTCCCAGGGTCCATCTCCTCCAGGAAACAAATGGAGAAGCTTCCAGTCGTGAGGCTGGTGAGCACCAACTCACAACAGACAGGGGCTGCAGGAAGCCAGCCCGTGTGCATGCGCGTGTGTGCTCACGTGCGCACACAGGCGGGGGCAGCACCGCCTGCATCTGCCATGGCTCCCCCAGAGCTGGTGGACTTGGGGGAGGGGAAAACTGCCCCCCTCCGCCTGCCGCGCCGCTGGGGCTGGAGCAAGGGAAGGGAGCGGGGCTGCCAGCGCAGTGTTTTCCGCTGGTGCTGGCCTGGCCAAAAGCCTCCCCGTGAGCAGGGCTGGCTGGGGCCATGTTGCAACAGCTGGCTGTGGGGCACTATTGCACTGTCCCGAAATCCCTCCCCTTGCAGATACGGTGGTCTGCAGAGAACAAAAGCAAAGGCTGAGACACAGTCCCTTCCTCCCGGAAGGTGACAGCTGGGCTGCCCTCCCTCCTTGTCCAGCCCTGGGGAGGGAGACAAGGAGGGAGGAGAAAATACCCAGCTGTAGTCGTCATGGCTTCTTAAGAACACAGATGTCGAGGGGATGGTGGGGACATCTGGGACGGTGCAGCACGAGCGCCTCCCTTCCCACGGCCCGTGGGATGCCCTGCCTGGGAGCGGGTTGGTGGGGAAAAGCCGTGCCCGTGCGTCAGTGGGCTGCGCCGGTCCGCAGCCCTGGCCCCCGTCCATGCTTTGCCGTCCTTCTCCTTGCAGACGCGGTACCTGGCGGGACCCCACTCCGGCGTGAGGACGCTGCACGGCTTGCTCTGGGCGAGATGAGGCATCCCAGCGGGGACCTGCGTGCTGCCTCCCTCCACCCCCCCGGCCGGCGGGTGGATGCAGAGAGCTGCTGGGGGCTCTGAATGGATGCCTTCCCCCCCCACCCCCACCCCCTCCTCCTCCCACATTTGCTCACCCTGTGCCAGCTGCCACCTTTGGCCTCTGACGGCCTCCACAAGAGCGGCGCGGGGCTCGGGCAGCCCTGCGATGGCACGCGCTGCGTAACAAGCAGATCAGCTGGTGTCCAAAGTACAATTACAAGTCGTCGCTGGGAGCTGCTCTCTTCTGAGCGAGCTAGTTGAAAATACAATGAGACCATTATTAGTAATTATAAGGTAGCAGGCGTGCTGGAGGGGGGAGCGGCCCGCAGTAACGACGTCTGACTTGAACGTGGTGCGTTTGCTCTCGTTGCTCTGGCAGACCCCCAAACCGATCAAGGGGGATGCAAGGGAGGAACTGAGGTGTGAATGACGAAGTGACTAATTCGGTGAATTGGGGCTGCGGGAAGGTCCCGCAAATCTCATTTTCCCTGTCTCTTTCCCCAGCAGCTTTTCTAAGCTCTGCACAGATGCCAAGAAACTGGAGAGCTTGGGAAAGGAGCTAACGGCAAACTACCTTTTGGGACTGCTCAAGGCTCTGGTTCCCACTGGGGAAGCCTGCATCCCGGTGCTGATTTACTCCTCTCCCTGCAGACAGCTCCAGGCTGAGCCCATCACGTGCCTCCAGGCAGTCCAAGGTCCAGCCAGGGCCAAGACTGTGAAGGCGAGTGCAAAATGAAGAGCCTGTTTTTCCTCCTCCTTTTTCTGCAGCTGCTTGGTGAGTATACCCAGGGCCAACGGCAATGGAGAACATGGGTGACTGGTCAATGACTTTGCCATTTCAGGTGCACTTTAGGCGATCCTGTTTTGGAGCAGAGCTGTCGGCTCTGTCACTCAAGGTGTATTTTGTAATGCAAATGGAAAAAATGCATTTTCAGCTGGACAAAGAGAAGGAAGGAGAATGAGCTTGGGCACTCAGGCTGTGATTTATATCTCACACTTGCTGCTCCTCTGCCACTCAGGTTTTTCTGCTCTTATTTGAAGCCAGCAGCTCTGCACCACAGGATCCATTTTCTGTTGAATATGAATGTAGCTTTGATGTTCAAGGACTGTGATTCCCTGGAGACAAGGCTGATTAAATAGCACGCTGATATTTTCAGGGATGTAGAAGGTCCAGGAATGCATCAGTACAGCTGCATGGGAAGAAAGCTTTGCACAGCTTTGGCAGCAACAGATTAAGCTCCCCGGCCCCACAGCCCCCGGCCGCTGTGCACGTCCGAGTTGTGCTGATGCCGACCAAGCCAAGCCAGCTCACAGAGCCCTCTCTGCTATGCACGCCTGCACGCTTGACAACGCACCGTGCAGCCGCTGCGAGTAACTGGTGGGGACGTGATGCGTGTGCGCAATGGGGCCGCTAAGGCTTTCTGCTGGAGCTTTAACCTCTCCCTTCCCTGGCTTTCAGCGACTGGAAGGACACAAGACAGCCGTAGGATGGGCAGAACAACTTGCAATTAATATTCCAGGGCTTTTACGTTAAGGGTTTTTTTTTTGACTCCAAGGTAGCAAGTCTTTTGTGGCCACAGCCTTCCTTAACTCTGAAAGCAGCTCCTTGGGTCTGATCCTTACAGCTGTCAGGGTCCTTTTCCTTCCCGAGGAGCTTTAAAGTGGACGCAATGGGCGGTTTTGCTCTACGTAAAGGCTCAGCCAGAGGGAAACAGGAAATTGCACTCAGGTCTGTTGAGTTCGGGGAGATTGTGTGCCTGGCGTCAGGCCGAAGTGAAGGCTCCCGCTGGTCAGGCCTTTCCCTTGGGGGGCCTGGGAACAGTCTGAGTTTGGCTTTTCAGCCTCAGGGTGGAAGAGCCCTAGTGCTGCAGGGGATTGGAGAGGCTGGGCAGGGCAGAGCCGGGGCTCCAGGCGGGTCGTGCATCGCTTTACGTGGTAAAAACCATTTGTCAAAGAACAGAAAGGTCTTTATTTAGTGACTGACAAACGAAGAAAGCACTGAAAATGCAGACGGCCTCAGCTCTTCTCTAATCTTTAACTGCTATTAGCAAAAGGTTTTTCAGCTATTTTGGGTGGACATCTCCCACCCTCCACAAGGCCCTGCCTTCAGTAGGCTTGGTGGGCAAGTTTCTCACCTGGTGTGGGGCTGAGGAAGTGCCTCTGCTCCAAACGATCTTCGGCCCTCCTCTCGGACCACACACCCCGACTCCAGCGCCTGTTTGTACATTAGGGCTCAGGTTAAAATTACATCATTTTCTCTTAGTCTGGACGTGGCTAAATACAACAAATTGTCTCAGCAGTGCCCCTGGCAGAGTCAGACAGTGCAAATGTGCAATTATGCTCCAGAGGTTATTACGTGCAGATAAAGCCTCCACAGAGCCTACTTAGCGCACACAAGACAAATCTCTTCCCCATCATTTACACTAGTAGGCTGGACTTTCTCCTTTGCACCTTCTTCTAGCACCCACAGCCGTTTGGACCCCATCGCTTTTGCCTTTTCTCATCTCCCACTGCTTTCTTTCCTCACTAATGAAAGTCAGTGTTATACGTGGCAGTCCGACTGGAGAGGACCTCCCCACAAAAGGGGACAGGGATGACGAAGGGCGGTGGGGTAGCAGGGAGAAGGTGAGGTGGGATGTCCCTGCGGCCCGTCCTGCCCCCATCTCTGCCTCCCCTCTCCCCCTGCCCTCTCCCACTGGAGCACCACTGACCTCCAGTGCCAAAGCCGCTTTTCTCCTCCTCCACTACCCCATCCCCTCCAGAACCAGCTTTGTATTTTGCTGTGTCTTTTGTCTCTTGTTTTTTTTTTTTTTGTTCCATAAGGAAAAGATGAACCATATGAACAGCAAAGATTTTTTTTTTCTCTTTTCTCTCTCATAACTCACTTGCCCAAAGCCATTTAATTCAGGCTGCTTGAGATTCATCTTCAGGTGGAAGCCAGGCCTGGGAAATGTCAGGCTTGGAGATGCACGTTTCGGAAGCTGTTGCGCAAACAGAGATGGTTAGAGTGGAAACTAACCTCAGCAATGGCAGATCCCGTGAATAAGCAGGGCTATTGCTGCTGGGGATTACAAGCAGGTGCCACCAACGCACTGTCATGGTCCCAGGAAGCCCCAGTGACATGGCCGATGAGGAGACCTCTGTTTCCCCAACCAACCGTCTTTCTCTGTTCTCTCTTTCTTAACTCCCTCTGTGAGGATGTTTCCAGTGCGCTGCTAGTGGGTTTGTAGGGCAGAGGAAAGGATGCACAGATGGAGTCAGCCAACCTAGTGCTGCCTCAGGCAGTGGGAGACCATCAGATCCAAATGCATGAACCAGCCAACCTTTTGTGCTGCACGTGCAGTGCCCACTTCAGGTGCTCTGGGAAATCCCTTTTCTTCTCCTCTCCCATCCTCATGGCCCTGCTGGCTCTCTGTTTGCTGGCTTCATGCCTGCTAGAAACACCAAGGATGAGTGGTTCTCTGCATTGTTTGTTAGTGTCCAGTGTATTGAGGTCCCAATCTCAGAAGAAACCACTGAACTTAAAGCTTAGATATCTGGTCGCATATTATTATTGTCTACTGCCTGCAGGCCTTTACTGCCATTGTCTCTACCTGTGAAGTATTTATCCCCTACTCATCCTTTCCACCTGGGTGGGTTCAAAACATCACCTAACCAAAAAAATCCCTTGCACAGGGAGGCCTCGGGAAGGAGGGGAGGCCTGGGACTCAGCTGAACTGGAAACACGCAGAGGCTGTTCCTAGGCAGAACCCCCCCCAGATGTGGCCTAAAGAGGCCAAACGATCCTGCAGCGCGTCCCAGCAAGGGGCTCTCTCCGCCTCTCCCCGCAGAGCGCGGGAAGGAGCAGAGGTGAGGCAGCGGGGACGACGTCGCCGAGCGGGACGCGTGAAGAGCTTTTCCCAGCTCCTGTTGGCAGCCTGCTGTAAGCAGGGTCACCACCTTTCTCCTCGCTGCTCACGTAGGCCACAGCAGTGTCACTCTCTGGAGATGCCTAAGGAGCGGCTGCTCCTCGGCCAGCGCCCACGCGGGTCCGGGAGCCGTGCGCGCTGCTCCGAGCGCGGCGTTTCCTGTAACCAGGCGAGGGGCGGACGTCCTATTGCATGACTTAGGGGGCTGTGTAAAATAATGCATTGAAACACCCACGTGAGCAGGCTGCAAAGACACCCTGTGCAGTGGCTGGCCCGCCCACCTGGCCGCCAGGGACAGCTCCCTTGGTCACGCTGGATGTTTTGGGTGGGTAGTCGGGCCCTCTTCCTCCTTTTGGTCCTTCGCAGGGTGCGAAGGGGCTGCGGAGAGCGCCGGCGCTCGGGATCCCCCGGGGCTGGGTGCTGAGCTAGGGCTTGCCCGCAGCCCAGTCGGGTGGCTCATCGCAGCCCTGCTTCACCCTGGCTCAGCTGACGGGTGGCAACTCTGCAAGCTCTGGCACCTCCAGTGATTAGGACTCACGGTGCTATTATTATTCCTAGGGGCGTTAAGCATGAGCGTAATATTTTGGCGGGTTTTCCGCAAGAGCCCTGCCCTGCTGGAGACAGCGGTACCAACGCGGCGGGCAGGCGGGGGGAAGGAGCCTACGGGGAGGTGGGTGCAGCAGGATCCCGTCCCCTAGTCCTAGCCCAGACCGAGTCAGGGCATTTCTCTGCTGTGCACTGATTGACCCAGCTGCATTAATTAACCCCAAGCTGAATTTCACCGGTGTCCAGGCCCAGGCTGCAGCCGTTGTAAAATCCCGTCAGCCCGGTGACCTTAGGAGAACCACGGGACGCGGCGCTCTCCGCGGGTCTGGCCGGGAAGCTGCCGCGCGGCGCTCGAGGAGCGCTGCCTTACAGCGGGTTTCCTTGCTTCTGCCAGCTGCTGCCGTTGCTGTGTACAAACAGTGGCTTCCAAACACCAACTTCGAAACCGCTTCCAACTGGGATAAAGACAGAGTCCCGTGTGCCAGTGATGTGATTCATTTTGAGAGGGAAAAGGTTTCTGCTTTTTTTTTTATTATTTATTTATTTCCCCCCAAAATAACATTAGCCATTTGGAAAAATCCCCTATCTATCTGCTCATGGAAAACGCACCGAATCCTTTTTATTTTTTT